CTCTCCGGTTTATATAGACATCGGAGAGGGCTAGGGTTACACAGAGTCGGTTACAATGGTAGGAGATCTACATATCCGTATCGTCAAGCTTGCCTTCCACGCCAAGGAAAGTCCCTTCCGGACACAGGACGAAGTCTTCAATCTTGTATCTTCATAGTCCAGGAGTCCGGCCGAAGGTATAGTCCGGCCATCCGGACACCCCCTAATCCAGGACTCCCTCAGGGTGATTCACTTGGTATAGGAAAGAACAGGGGGTTAAATACCCGGTTTTAGACCTGATGGGGTAAATGGGCCGGTTTGTGAAATCCTAGGGGGTTAAGTGGACTTCTTTCCACCAATAAGGGGCAAACAAAAGAAGGTGGGCAAAGGAAAGAGTGGTGTCATGGGCAAAGCGTCTCTCGCTGCTTGATGGATGGCCTTCGATCTCTCGGCATGTCCACTTTGATTAGGTTGTCGTTGAGGGTTGGGAGGTGTCCGATGTCTTGTGTCGAGCTGTTCTTGTCAGGGGTCTCTTGGCGTAGTAGCAATATCGGGGTTTGTGGATGTTGTGTATTCGGAGAGTCTGGGAGGGGCCGCATGTGCTGTTGTGGGGTTTCTTGCCATGTGAGGAGTTAGTCCGTGCTCCTTTTGTATTGGTTTTCGTCCGGTTTTCCGTAAATTAACTGGGCAATTCTATTTTTCTTAATTAATCGACGAGACAGAACTTTTGCCTTCGTTTCGAAAAAAAAGATATGGACGGATCAGACGGCTGCGGACCCGGCTGAGCTTTGCCAAAGATCAGCCGGATGACGCCTAGCATCGGCCATAAAAAAAGCATATTTTGACCTCGTCGCCCCGTGAGGCTTCTACATGGAGATTGAGAAAACTCGTCCATGCATGCGCTTTTACATGGAGCTTGAGAAAACTCATCCATGCATGCAAATGACACTAAACCACCCACCAACTATAAATGCTCCATATGTTGTCCCTCTATGGTTTGATCTAGATATTAATACTTTGCTCACTTGCTTCAATTAAATTTAGTGCAAAGTCGAGGAGAGCACAACACCATATCCATTTGTGGCTATTGCGGTCTTAAGAGGATCAGGGACGAAGCTAGAAAAAAAAGTTGGATGGGGTTCATCCTTCTATTAATGTTAGTGACTAGTACTAAATTAGTGAAGGATTTTCAGATTTTATTGGGGTCAACTGACCACAATGCCTATGAGGCAGCTATGTCCCTGAAGAGGATGCACTGCATACGTGTTACGATATTCTCACAGGTCGTGGGCGAAATCCGCTAGGGCGTGCCATGCAAGCCGTGCAACGCTCGACTCATGATGTCAACAAATAGATTGCAGAGCATATATGAATAAGAATTATGCAACAAGGAAACCAAATTGATCTCAAAAAAATCCATAGATATATCTGATCATAAAGTGCCAATTTATCACATCGCAACAAACACACCAACATATTATATCAGATGGATCACAATCATGTATGGCAGCTCACGTGATTCGTGAAATGAGAAGCAAGGGAGAGAAAATCAACTAGCTATTGTTATGGATCCACACTCCAAAGGAAACAACTCACGAGCAATCATGCTGGCCTTCAAGATGATGGAGATGGCCACCGAGATGATTTACCACTCCGACTGAGTTCCGGAAAAGGCCTCTAGATTGGATCACTTCGTAACAGAGAGGTCCTGCGGCAAAAACAGAAAGATTCCTCGATATGTAGGGTTTTCATGAAGAACGAAAAATAAAGTCGTAGAGAGGCGATGTAGCGCAGCCACAAGAGGCCCACACGTCTGTACCATGCAACCACCCTAGCTGTTTGGGGCCCACATGACTCCCCCCAGGTGGAGTCCATGTCGTCCAAAAGCTTCTCGATGAAAAATATTTTTTGGATTTTTTTTCAGGAATTTTTAGAGCTCCATAAAATTGATTTTCATGAAAGTCCAAAAACATGTAGAAAACAGTATAGACACTGGGGACTGAGTTAATAGGTTGGTGCAAAATGATACACATAACAATGCCAAAGTAATATAAACATAGCAAGAAATAAAAAAAGATACAGATATGTTTGAGACGTATTAACTGTGCAATGCTTGATTCCTCGTGTCGGTAGAGGGAAAAGGAAAGATTCATAAAGGAGAACATGGCAGCGGTAAGCCAACGACACAAATTATAGAGAGCACAGCGAGTAGTGAGGAAATGAAAATAGGAGCCGTGTTGCATGAGAGGTGTACGAAGTCCACGCCACACCACGATGTATATGTAGTCAGTTACCTGAAGCTTTGCAGCATTTATGCTTGGGTGCCCGTTCCCTCAGGAGGTCTGGTACGAGGTCCTTCTTGGGTATCATCTTCATCCCTTCGTGCTTGTGGGGCTTGAGTAATTATCGGACTGTGGCTAGCGATTGTCATTGCAGTTCCATCATGGTTGAAGGTTGGGATAAGTTCTGTTGTTCTCCTAACCGCTCGTCAAATTTGGCTAGAACTTGGTAGTAGGGTTTTCGATAGGGTGGCTTCTATGCCCCCCAGTGTGATTGGCAAGATCAGAGCTGATTTGGCAATGCAGAAGTTATCTAGAGCTGGGCCATGTGGTGGTGGCGGGGTTCTAGGAGGATAGTCGCTTATGCGTCCAGGCCGGTGAGTGCCGCTCAATCCCCACCTGTAAGTTGGGGTCCACTCGCGGGGCTCATGGCTTGCCTGCGATGTGTGACGTGTCTGCGTTTCGCGTTGTGGTGGGCGTGCTCATCTGCTCTCGACATCTCCCATGCATGTGCTCTAGATACCAATTGCCACACCCAGAAAGGGGATCGAGGGGATTTGGGGTGACAAACTCGAGCCAGGGTTTGTGGATCAAGATCATATATTATATTTTTAACACGAATATACTAGCAAATATCCATTCCAGTTGTATTGTACAAGAGTATAGGATAATAGAGAATTCTCTGGAGATAGGAATGAGTTACAATATAGCCATGGCTTTTTTTTTCGAAAAAACAATATAGCCATGGCTAAGACAGGAAGATAAACAGTAACGGTTACATATGAAATGCTACAGTAACGGCGAGTCATACAAGCCGTTAGATCTTCTTTAACTGATCTTCTCTGCGTCGTTGGATAACTAAACCGGTAAGAGCTCTTCTAAAGAATTAGACACCCAACTTCAGTCTGACAACAGGGTCATAACGCCGCCATGGATGCTGATGTCGCATTGATGCTCATCAAGCTGGCCAAGACTAATGATGCTTCCCTTTAGACACGGGATGAAGTACTCGTCGATGAGGGCCCGCTGGTCTTCGGAGCTGGCGGCAAACGTGACAATGCCACTGCTGCCCTTTGAGCTTGTCATCGTCTCGCATCACGCAACCTAGCTCTGATGCCAATTGTCGCCCCTCATTAACCTTGAGCTCTATTAATGGCAGATGAACACAAGAGAGTGAGATTTTGTGCAGCATGCACCTGTGCTGCTTTTCTTCCTTCACTATTTATTCTGTTGAAATACAAACTTGTTGTGGTGTTGCTCCATCTACCGGATTGTGCCATCGCACAATCGTTAGCACGCTAGCACGCAGCGCACAGGCTTACAACTACTCCTCAGATCGCATGAGGACCGCGTCCGCAGGCCCAAGCTAACAGAAAGTGCTGAAAAATATAGCTAACTACCGAAACGCTGCCATGGCAACAGAATCGAGCCTAAAAAATGCTGTCATGGCAGCCTAAAAACTCTGTCATGGCACAAAAAGGAGATTGGTCTTGTCAAGGTAGACTATGTGCTAACAGCCCCCTCCCCCGCCAATACCACGGCCAAGGCCGTCTGCGGCGGGGGTGCTTTTTCCGAGGAGCCAGGTTTCGCTACGGAGCCGCCCCAGGAGCACGTTTTTTGCCACCTCAACGGTATCATTTTGTGTAGCTAAACTAGAGGATACTTGCTTCTGCTGGAAACTTGCCAGGTTCCACTACTTAACCATAACTGTGCACAGCAGCCTTTTCTGCATCAGCTGCATGTGGATTGCAATTGTGTTAGAAACTTTGATTATGCCATCGGTCTAATTACATGTCCAGGAAAAACACATATACTTCATCTTTTGTCCATTTCGTATATTGTTCTTATGAAAACATTTCAGTCATATTGTTCTTGCCGGTGGGCATTGGGTCCTCACCCATGCGTTTTCCTTTCCTGGTTTCTGGTTTATTCATGTCTTGCTTCCCATTGAATTAGTATACATGTGGAAGTACAAAGAAAGAAAACATTTGTTGATCTCGGGAGGGTTGGGTAAATAAAACCTGAATACATTGGTTGTTACAGGTGACCAAGATGACAACACGAAAAAGGTAAGCAAGCAGGGATACTCTTCCCGGGTCATTGTCTCGTAAATGACTAGGGAAAATGTTGTAACGAACAACCATCTCCGTTATTTGAAGCCATAGAAGCATTAGATTTAGATATTGCAGTGGTAGAATAGATTAAAGCCCCAGGTGAAGTCATGAACTTCCTTGTTTGTTCTTTCCATATGGTCTATGTCTGCTTAATTGGTGCTATTATTGTTGTGCAGACAAAAGGAGGCTGTGCCTGGTCAGTTTGAATGTCATGTTCTGATTATGTCAAAGGATAAAATTGCATTGCTACTACTTGTTGAACCATCATGGTGTATTGTGGACTGCCATTTCCCCTGGAAGTGATACTCCCTCCTATCCAAAATAAGTGTCACGGTTTTAGTTCACGGCACTTACTTTGGATCGAAGGGAGTAACTCAGGGAGATGATTCTTTCTAAAAATCTCTAGCTGCTCACCCTACTATGCTTGCGTGAATGCCCTCTTCTTTTTTATTAATGTCACACTCATCACCCCTTTAAAAAAAGGGACGCACATGGCTGCACACATGGCGCACCAGTGTTCATCTTAAAACAACACTGGGGACGGTTCAAGCTATTGGCCTCCATGGCCATATACAGAAATCGAACAATGAAGAAAAAAAAGGATCAGCAAGACATGTACATGAAGAAATCATGTGGTATCCTGGGCGCCGCCCAGCGAGTCTCTTCCTAAAGGAACCCAAGGAAGCTGGTCAAACTGGTCGGTGCTTTGCACGAACATGTAGAGGGAGAAGATGCACAGAGCTGGCAAAGACAACAAATGGAAATGCAGAAGGTGTTACGCCAGCAGATCTGAAGTATGCGCAAGTAAATACTCCCTCCGGTCCTTTTTACTCTGCATATTAGAATTCTCTGAAGTCAAACTTCAGAAAGTTTGACCGTATTTATATGAAAAAATATCAACATCTACCATGCTAAAGTTATACAATATGAAACTTTAAGTCATAACACATCTATTGATATTGATTTCAGATTGTGAATGTTGGTACTTTTTTCTATAAAGTTGGTCAAACTTTACGAGGCTTGACTTCAGTCAAATCTTATATGCGAACTAAAAAGGACCGGAGGGAGTACAGTACTATCAAGCAGCGTGGTCGAATTACCAGCATAAGCAATAGCAGCGCCTGAGACAACCCTTCCCAAAGCTGCTAGGAAATACAGAGTAAAAACCACCTGCAATGCAAGGATGCAGATCTTACAGTGAGCTAAAGTACATGTATGAAAGCCCTATAGCACATAGCTGATGGGTCAAACATCAGAACTGCATTAGAATGAGGAGAGAAATCTGATCTCTTTTCTCCGTGCCCTTTGTATCGCAAGAACAAATTTGGAAACATCCAAAACTGTAATTTTCACAGAGAATCTCGACAAGGTATCAACAAGCAAGGGCTGTTAACATACAAAAACTGACCGAAGATGATTATTTCTCTGCCTCAATAGTTCCTCCAGAGAGAACATATGAAGTCGAGTTCTGAGAATACCTTGAACAAGAGTTTCTTGTCGTGTCCAGTCGCAGCCACCCTCAATACAGATTCCGCAGCTCCAATTGTGTTAGCCAAGGATGCAACTATGCTATTTGCCATCTCTTGAGAAATCTGCCACTCAAGAGGATCCACAGGCACCCTACATGCAGAACCATTTGCAGCAAAATGAGTTACTTTGAAACAACTGGGATAAAAATAACGATATGCAAATCAGCAGTCATCACTAACTGAAGAATATGTTGCCACCATCAGTGACATATCCATTATTAGAAAAACAGATAATGAAGATGTACAAGAAAAGAACAAAACAGAAACATGATCTTTACCATCCAAAATAAACATGTATTTTCCCCTAATAAAACCATTTCCTTATTTGTATTGTTAGTGTGAAGAAATTGCCAGCTACAACAGTGCATACAATTTGTTAGTTAAGAAGCCATTAGTGAATAAATAATAAAAAGGTAGGACCTCTAAAAAATGCATAATTAACCCAACTTGCTACAAGAAGCCTCAGAAATTTGGACGAGCTTGCTAAATAGGGACTATTGTTGCTTGGACCTTGCAGACTAGTATCTAACAAAGTAAAGTAGTACGAAATTCATCCTTCCAGGGAGGAGCACCATCAGACACTTCAGGGCGCGTTCACTAAATCTCCAGCTGCCAGCTTCTCCAACTCTGGGTCCCGAGCTGGACCGAACCACCTAAGTCCTGATGTTGATAATGAGAAGCTGGCGCTCGCTTTAGTGCAAAATTTGAGGAGTTGGAGAAGATGGCAAAACCAAACTCCTCCAAAACAGCGAAGCAAGAGTTGGTGGAAATTACAGCGCCATGCCACCAGCAAGTGAAAACTCATACCGATTCTCTCCACCCCCTTTCTCTCCCGTTCAGGTAAAAAGAAGATTCTCACCCATCCCCTCTTCCCCTCCCTCCC